CCCTGCTTTAACGAAAATCACAACTTCTATAAAGCAGGACATACACACATGTGTGTGTGCTCATGATCGCTACTGCCACCCAAGGATGTTAGGTGATAGAATTTATATTGTCAGGAAAAGTTAGTAGATTTAATAATTCAGTATGATGTTTTGGCAGTTACAATTAAGTATAGTAAATGTAGCAATGATATTAATATCGATAAAGAGATATTAATGTACCGATGTAGAAAACGGTATTATGTAAAAAATGTACACAAGAAACGTGTTTTCAAGCAGTGCTGGTACTTTGTTCTTGATCTCTGGATGTCCCTGGCTGGTCCTCAGAGGTGAATGTCGAAGGATATATTTCGGCGATGATCTCAAAGAATTTTTCAATTCGTTCCAGACGGCTATAGGCGCGTTTAAAAAAAAAATCGCACAAATATCCAAGGACGTGATCCTCCCTGGTTCCTTGGAATATTGCCGCGAACTTCTCTCCAAACACGCTCTATGTGCTGCGTATGAGCGCTTGAAATTGGAAAATTTATTAGATACAAGGAATAATATAATATGATATAATTAACAACTGTACAATTTCGATTATTTTAATATATGGTATATTAATTTTAAACATCTCTCACCGCTTTCAGGATCGACGAAGTTAAAGGAATGATTAACTGTCGCATGTTGGAAGCCCTCATTGTTTAGACAATTATAGGACTTCCAACAATCTGACATAATCGTAGTGCCTGGCAGTATCCATTCCTTGATACATGCCAGGAGTGTAGTTTCCGTCCAATCCTGAACTGGAACGATGAAAATTTTTTTTGAGCTTTGCTCATATCCTCCGAATATCCAATTACCTCTGACGAGCCGACCACGATTATATTTTCACTTTCCAATTTTTGCCTCGTCAATTTCGACTATCCCAGTGAACACAGTAATATAGCAGCAATGTAACGGCAATGCAACCGAATATAACAGGTTATATAAACCAGAACGTTACATGTAACTTACGTGTAAGTTACAATTTCCGACTCAGCAATATAACATGTTATGTAACCTGTTATCTAACTGTTGCATAACAGTTACTGTGACTGTAATGTAACAACTATGATAACTGCTGTATAACTGCGATATTGCAATTGAATATAACAGTTAACCTAATTGTGACATTGCTTCTATATTTACAGCAATATAACATTAGATTGACTGTAATGTTATAGTTATATTGGGACAATGAGCGCATTACGAAAGTTAAATAAAAGTACATTGATTCACAATTACTGTTTATTAATAAAATGTATTACACCAAACAAAATAATTTATATAATGTGTATTAAATCAATATATAGTATGAAAACAAACTTAAAACATTTAGGAACATATGTTTTATATTAGGAACATCTCTTGCATTTCCTACAAACTTTGCCTATCGACTAGATATACTAATAGATACTAATCGACTAGATACCGAGTGATGATGACCGTGATCAAGTAATAATACGTAAGTTTTTGCAGTGTCGCTATCACAGTTACATAATACCTCACACCAGCTCTATCGCGTTATACAAAACGCATTTATTATTAATTATTTATACTTAAATGTTACGCAATTGCATCACTCGTTAAGGTTAGTAAGTGTTTTGGTGCGAAGGTCGTCTATAAGGCACAAGAGGACCTTCGATTCAATCAGTTATATTGCGCGTGCCAGAAGGCAGACAGAAACTAACAGCACAGCAATTCTGGTACAAACTGTTTTTAAATTCCGTCGTAAGTTTCTTTAATCGTTTAGATAGTAATAATTATGTTTATGAATAAAAAAGAAATAAAAAGAACTTTTTGACAAAAAACACAAAAGCATTTTTCTACGGTACATTATATGACCAAATTCGTAAGTTTCTTCAATTGTTTAGATACTAATAATGTTTATGAAAAAAAAAAATGAATAAAAAAGATTTTTTGACAAAAAAACAGACATTTTTCCACGGTACGTTATATGACAATTATAGAAATAGAAGTATCTAAAAATAAGACTCTGTAACCTTAAAAGAGTACGTTCAGACGCTTTGTTGTCTTTACTTTCTTCTTTCTAATTTTTCTTCTCTTTTTCTGCTGTTTGAGTTTGTCGTTGTTTAGCAAACCGGAACCATTCTGCGACAATCTCTTCAAATTCAATTTCCTTTGTTGCCGGATATGTATTTAAAATAGCATCTGTGAACAAAATTACTATAATAAATTATGTAAAAATGTATGAAACATCTAAAAACTCGATAATAAATCACAATAAATTTAGATCCATTAGAGTTGACGGGACTAACTTCTAATATTGGGATTATTATGATAAACATTTAGAGGTAAACTAATCAATTATTTTGCATTCTATTCTATTTACATTGAGATAATAAAACGATTATAACATTTTTTTTTTCTTTTTTTTTTTTTCAAAAACCAGCTATGTTTGCAACAACCTCAATACTACACACAGTTCTTATGTTAGTAAAAAATGTTAAAAATTAAACTAAAAAAATATATAACTTTTGTAAAAGTATATTTATAAAATTTCTGTAACGAAAACTTCAAGAAATTCGACAATAATTTGACATTTTTTTCATATTGCAAAAATTAAAATTCTCCACAATATTACTACGGAATGAAAAATGTTTAAACCTAAAACAACCTGTCTTCGAAGCGCGGATCGAGCTCGCGGTTGGCCGGGGTTCGAAGGAGGTGCGGAGGAGCAGACGGAGGGCGAGGTTAGCGAAATGAAGGCGCGTCTCGGTTACAAGAAAATAGTTGAATTTATTCTACTACAATTTACAATCTATGCTTGCGGCATTTACAATAGGTCGATGCGTGCGAGGCGACGTTGGTTTGGTCGCGGGCGGTGCGGGGTACTCGCGGTATGTACGGGGCAGAGCCGCTGCTTTTGGTATTTGCGCGGACCGAATCGCGTGACGGCAGGTATCGGCACGGGCGGCGCCGGTTTCCCGGCCGGCGCGGCCCGGAGCGCGGAAAAATGGCGCGAAGCGCGGCGGCGATATGGATCGCGAAGCGTGGATAACGCGGCGGAAGCGGGTCGTCGGCCGAGACACACTCGGCGAGGGCAGAGAATGCCAGAGGCGCTCTACCGTCTTGTCCGGACAGGCTTCGGATGATTTTGAAAGATGAGAAGCTGGTCCTTCGCCGAGACACACTCGGTGAAGACAGAGAATGCCGGAGGCGCTCTACCTTCGTATCCGGACGGCTTCGGGTGATTCAGATAGGAGCGAAAAGCTGGTCGCTAGCCGAGACACACTCGGCGAAGACAGAGAATGCCGGAGGCGCTCTACCTTTCGTTCGGATTAGCTTTCGTGCGGGAATTCAGGATCGGTGTTGTCTGGAAGACGGATGATCGGGAATCGCGCTCTGTGCCAGCGACGCCGGGCTTTTATACGCGTCGCGGCGGCGTCGCGGCGTGGTGGGGGTAGCGACGGCGATCGCGAGCGCCGGGCTGGTGCGGCGGAACGATCGGGGATCGCGGCGCCCCGACGCCGTAATCGCGTTCGGCGGTCTTCGGCCGCCTTCGGCACCGCTCGGCGCGGTGAAGCGGTTGCCGCGTTTAAGTCCCTTCGCGGACTTCCTAACATATGCGATGATTAAAAAATACGCTGGGCACATCGTGCCCGTTCTTCACCCCGCGGGTGGTCGGCGGGGTGGTCTCGGCGTGATGTTCTTGCTGGAACGATGCATGTTTGGGGGTGCATCGTTACAAACCTTTTTAAATAGCATTGCAAAAAATTATCAAAACAATTGTATAAAAGAGTTACTTTTTCGAATCGATATCGGCAACGCTGACTAAGAAAATGTACTTATTCTTATAATTATTATGTAGATTATTGAACTGTCTGTTTGCAGCAAGAGCATTATTGTCAACATTTCTGCCAAAAACTGGACAATAGAAAAGGAAAAACCCTATTTATTAAACAATGTTAAAATGACATTTTCTGGTGCTAAAACCTCAAGATTATCACTTACCTTGCATTATTTTAATAATACATAAACCTTCAATGCAAAAGTTTTCCTTCCGTCCTTTCCATAAACACAACTCTGCGCAGGAATTTGTAAAGACCTTTGTGCAAGTTCTTTGGATGTCCTCACGCGCTGTGTGACCTCCGATTTTCCGTACAAACGTATTCTGCAATAGAAAGATTATTACTATACTTGCAACAGTTTCAATAAAAATTGATTTCTCTTCGTGGAAAGAATTTACTTACGAAATTTAAAGAATTTACTTACGAATTGTTCTTTCACATCTGGATTTTCATGGATTTTTTTCTCGAAGACTTCAATCTCCGCGATTGACTTTAATGGCAGAAGAGGCGTTACGAGGTTAATATTTCCAGAAAGCATAAGTCTTCCACGGTCGACTTTTTGATGAAGCTCTTGTAGTTGTACTTGAATCGACGCAAGCATCCGAATAATTATTCTTGAATATTCTATATCAGAATAAATGATAGAGAATATCTCGAAAGTATTTAAATGTTCCTTTTGTAAATGTCCAATAAGTCCAATAGGTTTCACCTTCCGAACTGAGGTCCGTCGCTTCTATGCCATCAAGGGCCTTTTTGGCAAGTGTTGCAACTTCAGAAAAATGTTTTTTCTTGCCGGTTGTTGGCGTCGCAACCTGAGTCGGAATCCTCACGTTTGGGTCATCCACGTTTTCCGCTTCTTTGTCTATGTCGCAATGGTCTTGTATAGCACAGCACAAGACATCATCACTCAATTTTTGATAACCTAATGTCAACAATATATATAATTCAATACAATTTTATTAGTATAACATTATATTTTTTAAATAAAAATTATTTTGTGACTCGTAAAAATAATATTTTTTGTATAATGCATACATTTTATATGATTTTTATGCTTTTCATCTGACTCGATTCTCTTAATTTTTTTTACTTTTCGGAAAAAGTTAATAAAAATTTGAATTTAAATGGACAATATTTATAATTAACATTGCAACTACTTACGACTTGAAACTGAAGTACCGTTGTTCTCACAGTTTAAACAGTGTTATCCGTTTCACATGCTTCTGTCTCTTTGGGTCGCACTACCCTTGTGATGTCGTGCGACTTTGTGACCTGTTTTGATTTTGTTGCCTTTACGACATCGTGCGAGTATTCAAATCTTACAGATTCTGATGTCTCAACAGAGCTGTTTGGAGTCGGTGGCAGGTCTGATAATATGTTTTGACCTGCAAATCCAGATTTGATTTTCGATGATGTTTCATTGTCACTTGTGTGCGTGTGTGCGTGTGTGTGTGTGCGTGTGCGTGTGCGTGTGCGTGTGCGTGTGTGTGTGTGTAGACATGATATTGTAAGACCATCACTGAGATTTCTACACAAAAATTTACAAACAGCCTCATCTTAAATAGCTCACGATGGAATGCGCAAGAGATAATACGTAAGGATTTGAAATTCATAGAGATTTCAAGTTCAATCAAATTGTAAAAAGTTCAAATTGCGAAATGGATTCAAACAGGAGAAAATACGCTATATAGACTCCCCTTGTGACATTCGAAGAATAATAGACGAAGAGACATATAACAATCTTCAAAAAATTTGTTAAATCAGAATATACTATGGCTAGAACTTACGCGGGTTTCGTGGCTTTATCCGCTTGAAAGTTTTAGATTGATTTTCATTTTCGGGGTCTTCGGATGAGGAGCTCGAATTTCGTATGGGCATCAATTGTCTGCGTCCTTTCCCGAGTTGAACATCATCAGTAGTTGCATAATTTGCATCCTCCGCGACCTTTCGAGCCTTTTCATAAGACGCTGCAAAAAGTATTTATTATAAATAAAAATATCGCAGATGTTCCTTTACTTTATGATAAAGAAGTATACCTACTGCAATATTTTTCGATGGTTACAGGCAACTTATCCCACGACTTTTTATTTGGTTCAGATCTTTTTGCTATTAGCGTACTGGCGTTTTTGCAATGTGTCGGCCACCAACATAACGATTCTTCGACATTTGTTTCAAGCCAATTAGATGGTACCTCGGAAACTTCGTTGTCTCCTTTGAATATTACGACTGCATACGCCATGTCTACCACCAACCGTAAATGAAAACGAGGTAATTTCAAAATTGGAACAAGAGGGAATGAGATTGCAGGAAGAGAATTTTGAAAAATACGAGGAATGATCTTTATTTTTATTGGATTGAATTCTAAATGTCAATAATTATATTGCAGTAAAGGGATCACTACACTCGAGGTGGTTTCTTCAGGATTTTGTAATTTCAAGCACTTTCTCTGTATTTGCGATGCTAACAATGTAATCCGTTCAGATATAAATCCTTCATTAATCAGGGAGATGCCAAATTTCTGAGAATCGCACGGCACTAAAAAAAGTGATCTCGTGTTGCTATACTTATTACCTCTTACGTAAAGAACGTTATTATCGCTGAAAATTTTTGTTACGATAAAAATTGAATCATTATTCAATTGGCAACAATTCTCATAATCTTCTGTTGAGATGGAAAATCCATCAAACTCGAGACGTTTGATCTTCATTGCAGACCTCGAATAGTGTACGATTGGATACGATTTGCGATATTGAGTTTGAATAGATAGAACAGTTTTCGAATTTAAACGCGCTGAATTTATCTAAGCAGCCAAATCGGGTTACATCAGAAGCAAGGTGCACGAGATTATGTACATTATACGTAATGTATTCCGGACCATACAATTCTCCGTAATGCGAAACAAACCAGCACAACAGAGATCGAGCATAATCATTCATAACCAAACACAGTTTAGGATCAGATAAAATACGGATTGCTACGCTCAATGAAAGAAAATGATTATATAAATCTTTCCGCAAAATTGATTTTAAAACCACAGGGCCTGTGTAAAGAAGAAATTGACGCAGCTCAGTAGCCTTCCATCTATCGATATCGTTAAGACTTCTCGGTTTTCTGCAAAATTCTTTAGTTATGAAGCATTTCATTGACTGTATAATTCTTGATGCAGCCTGCAGCTGTTCGTTAGTAAGTCGAACATTTTTAGTGCCTTTAACCCAGAACTGAATAAGACGTTTGATAACCCCCAAGCATACAAGATGCATATAATCTAAAACAACTTGAGAAACCATACCAATATTTAAATTTAATAAATCTGAATAACCCACATGATGCTCAGGCTGTTGTTGATATTGAAAGGAATGATCGGTTCTTAATTCGCTATCTATTTCAGGAAAAGTAGTGCGATGGCCCACTACATCTCCTTCTTGAATACATTTAGAGCATCCAAAGTATCCATTGTGACCTTTCGTATATGTGAGAAACGACTTTGCAGGTGCATCGCAAACAATTGCCTTGATAATTACACAACACTTATGACCATCAATATCAAGACCGTTTTCAAGAATTTCACTCATGTCAGTGATAAATTCTTTCAGATAAATATTAGCGTCAGCAGGTTTCTTGTCACCATAGTATATGCCAGCAACGATAGGCTCCGTGTAGAAATCAGTTTCGATTGATACTAAAATTGGCCAAAATTGAGCTCGCGAACTTTTAAACAGAGGTAAACCGTCACAGTTTATATTTATTTCTATTTTATAGGGGATAACTTGAAAGTACTTTGCAATCGAAC